GTGGTATCCCAGTAGAAATGGGCAATATGGCAAAATGTAATATAATGATATTTTGGGAATATTTCTCTTTTCTGACTTCCAATTAGTTAGAACAAACAAAGCAGTGCCACATTTTAAAAAATACTTTCAAAAACTATTAACTTGTCATTCACTAGTCAACTTGTCATTGTAATTAACTTGTATTCAACATTTTACACAATATGTTGCACTAAATCCAATTAAACAGGACTAATTATACTCTCTTCTTAATCAAATATGCAGTTAGGAAGTTTTTAAGTATTGATGATCTATGATATGTTTTAGAAAATCATACTGTGACATATTGTGATGTAATTTATCACGATAACAATAAATATTCTCATATCCCAGGTGGTTGCTAAGGTGTTTTTAGGTCATTGCTATGGTATTCCAAGTGATTGCTAAAATGTTGTTAGGATGTTACTATGGTAACCATTGTCATTTATCTAATAAAGGTGTGTTAATTGTAATATAGCATTGATATTTCTCGTAGGTGTAAAGCCCTCTCCCAACAATGTATATCATGAAAAAAGACATTTCTTAAAGTGATCTATAATGCATTCTACACAAGGAAACCCTTTATATGTTTCCTTCTTTTTTGACACTGAAAAGAATAGCATTTTGACTGGAAGTTAAATAAACAAAAAGGTGGTCTCTGAATTATGCACAGTATTTTATATTTTTATTATTAATCCTGCTGTAGTACGTTATATGTTCCTGTTTTGCTACATAGTCACATACACACACAGTAGCACCCACACACACAGCATGTACATTCATCAGACGGACATATGCTCAACATCATCAGCCCTCCAGAGGCAGCACTCTGGAGGAGCCAAGGCCTCTTTTGTTTTCCCTGCTGCAAATATTAACATTTTCCAATCTGTCGTGTTTTGCCGGCGAGCAAACGACAATGACACGAGCTGGAGAACTTTTAATAAATCACAATTATGAAGCACCATCAGCCCTGCACTCGAGTACAGCCTCCACTCCCTTGTTCCTTTCCACCAAACAAACAAAGTCCATGCTGGCTGACACGACCATTAACCAATTGATAGTCAATTAGGACCTAATTTGAATATCCAGCAAAAACATGCCTGTCTCCTTAATGCATAAAACTGAACGAGTGTGGCCTCTTAACAAGAGTCAATCTCTTCTGAAAAGGAAACTACCATCAGTTAAACAGTTCTGTTTACATGAATCTAACAACTGATTCATTCATTTGTTGATTCACAAGTCAGGTCAATTTTCCTACCCATGATCACTTTACCAAATTAGTTCTGTTTAAGTGAATTGAACAGCATATTCAGTGATTCATTGATTCACAAGTCAAGTCAACTTCTCGTTAGTTTACTAAATCAGTTTTGTTTCAATTAATCGAACGACTGATTCAATGATCTGTTGATTCATAAGTGAGGTCAACTTTAATTAATTAAAACAGAACTATGACCCATCCTTAGTTAACCAGATGAGTTCTGTTTCAATGTATTAAATGACTGATTCAATGACTCATTGATTCTCAAGACAGGTCAGCTTGACTATTCATCACTTTATTTAGTTCTGTTTAAATGAATCCAACAACTGATTCAGTGATTTATTGGTTCACATGTGAGGTACATTTTTTTACCTACCATCAGTTTACCAAACCAGCTCTATTTAAGTGAACTGAACAAGTGATTTGTTGATTTGCAAGTCAGGTCATCTTCTGAACCTCTAAATATCGTCAATTGTGAATCAATTAGTGATTGAATCAGTCAAGTTCTTGAAACAGAAGTTATTCAATAAATTGACCATGGGTGAAGACCAAAACAGGTTTTTTAATTGATTGAATGACTGATTCAGTGACTCATTGACTCACAAGTCTTGTAAGCTTCATTCCCATTACTCTACTCATTAATAAAGTCGATCTCTATATGCATAAAGCATAAACGTAAAAAGAAAGGCAGCTACAGCCTACAAAGAGACAAGATAATATAGTGTCTTGATTTATATGGATGATCTAGAAAGGCTCTAATTATCATCAAATAGATTAGGTTCCGATTAGAGTGAATATTTATGGAAAAGTTAAGTTGAATGTCAATTTTATTTAGTCGATTGTCAGTTAAATACAAAGCAAACACTTACAAAGCATCTAAATCGACCATTAAAATAAAGTTTTACCAAATGTAATATTTTATACTGTAATTTTGAGTTTAACCCTCAAAAATTGAGTCATTGCTTTTGTTTAAATGACATATTTAATCACTTAGTGTGTTATTTAATGAATTAACATTCAATTGACAGGTATCAACAGGTTTGAGTCCACTCTTCTAACCATTCCTTCTTGTTTCAATGTCAAGATATGACCAATTTATTAAAAATGTCTGGTTCAAAAGAACCAGTTTGTCCACCAGTTGGACACTAGAAACTAGTTTAGATTAGCTTCTATCAAAGACCTAGCCAAGCTTAATTAGGTGGATGACTTCGAAATAAGTTTTAAAGGCAGTTTTGCAGCACTGAGGTGAAATGAAGAATGACGTTACGTACATGCCAATGGCATGCGAGTGCATTTTCAGCAGGGACTCATTTCAGGCCTAATTTTATTTACTAACTAGGAGAGTTTAAGCGGCTAAATGGCCCTGAACGGCGCCTGTTGCGACTGGCTTTCAGTCGCGCTTTGAAGTTAAACAGGCTCATGAATAAATAAATGCACTGGGCTCCTCCTCCTCTCCTGGGATGGAGAGATTTTTTGCATGCTTTCTCTCATTTTGTTCTTTCCACGTGGTCCTCCGTCTTTGATTCCCTGTTTTTACTTTACTTTCACACCTCCCTTGACCTTTTTCTCCCCCTCCTCCTTTCCTACCCCAAGCGGCTTAATAAATTAGTGCCTCCCTCTTCGTCTGGCCATCTTTTTTCGCTCTTAAAGCACATCGGGTCGTGTCTGACATTAATTTGTAACGTGAAAGTCTTGTACCGAACTAATCACATATTACGCTCATAAGGAGAATGATGAAGCTTTAATTTGCAGCACATTAAGAGAGACAGAAAATTACTCCTTGGAGTATACGCATGGGGATAGAGAGAGCAAGAGAGAGAGAGAGAGAGAGAGAGAGAGAGAGAATGGAAAGAGAACAGATGAGAAAAAGGTGCATGTGTGTGTATATGTATATATATGTATATATATATCTGTAATAAAGTGTTTTCAGATAAAGTGGCCAATGGATGTAGCTACAAGGTTGGTGTTTCTAATAAACTGGCATTTCTCATTTCTCACATACCCACACACACAGGCGTGTACAGGCACAGTCTGTATTAACATTAATTAGCTAGGGGTGGCTAACAGGGCTAATGAGAAAGAAAGAGGTGATATTGAACTTTGCCTTTTCTGTACAGGCAGTCAGCCTCTAAAGTGGGTCAGGGTAAAAGAAGAGAAAAGCAAGAGAAAGAAGGAGGGCTAACGGCAGAGCAACGAAGGATGATGGGGGATGGAATAGCAGAAAGAGTCCAAAGTAAGTGGCAAAAGTAGGTGGAAATTATGAGGGACAGACAAGACACTTGAGAGATTGGAGTGGGCGTATGGAGAAATAAAAAGCCAACGACAGTGGAAGAGAATAGGCAGCACACTGTCCTGTCCCTGGCAGAATGGATACACACCCACACACACACGTAAATACAGCTAACAGTCTGAAAGAGAGCACAGCAGGCTTTAAAACTCAGTGGCGATGCACTGAGATGGCATCCACATCAATAATAAAATCAAACAAGCATGTCCTATTTCCCCAAATAGGAACAAACACCACAGTTGTATATGCTGGATTGAAACCAGTGAATTGTAATTAGCGAAATATAACTGTTGGATTGTGACTGGTGAACTGTAATCAGTGAATTATATTGGTGGATTGTATTTCATGGACTGCAGTTGGTGAATTATAATTGGTGGATTGTAATTGGATAATTGGTAATTGGTTGTGGATTCAAAATCATTGATCATAATTGGTGAATTATAAATTGTAACTGGTAAACTGTAAGTGAGGGATTGTAATTGGTGAATGATAAGTGTTTAATTAAAATTGGCGGACCGTATTTGGTAAGTTTGTAATTGATGAATTGTAACTATTGAAATATAAGTATATGTAGTGATTCAGGGATTGCACATTGTGATTACTAGCTTGTAAATTATGAGTTGTATATCATAAATAGTAAATGTTGAATTGTAATTGGTGGTCTGTGATTGTTGGATTGTAAATGATGAATTTTATATGGTGAATTTAAGTTGGTGGGTTGTAATTACTACTCTCTGGGTAATCTGTTGAATCACTTGTCATATTAATAATTGCTATTATTTTAACTTACATTGAAATACAGTAATCTAGACACCAGAAGCTAAATCTAAAAACAAAACAAAAAAAAACAGTTAAGCACTTTAGTAAAGGCAATGGTTATATATAGAACTGTGATCACTCAAAGAACAATCAATGAATGGTTCTTTGTGTGGTTATAAATCTATATGTTTCTTTAAAGAGTGTAGGACCAAAAAGGGTTCTGATGTTGTTTCTAGTCAAAGAACGTTTATTGTTACTACATAAAACCATTTTTGCTGAGAGTGTCTTGTAAGATTTATTTTTTTATTTATTCAATATTTCATGTTTTTTGAGAACAGGTTATTAAATTATGAGCAATATACTGTCATTATTTATTTATGGTAGTTTTTTTTCAAGTTAGTCTCATGGTTTGATTACTACTTTTCAAATACAAGGAATTCTGAAAAAGAAATTATTTAAACTATTTAAATAAATTATAAACTTCATTATCAGTTTTATACAGCTTTTTCAATCATGTTAAAATTCTTTTCTACTAATTATTTGAAACATGAAGCTGCACAAGCATCATATTTGAATAATTTTATACATTTATCCTCAAAAAAGTATGTTTTATATTGATGAAAATAGCTATTTCAACATTATGCACAGTTATTCTAAACTTTTGGATGATAGTTTACTGACCTGATTCTGGATGGCAGGTGCCGTGCTGGTTACAGTTGCAGGGCACACAGGGTGAGAACGGTCCGGCGTTGGGAGTCTCTCTGGTAAAGCCTGGTGCACATAGTTCACAAAACTGTCCTGCAAATCCAGGGGGGCACACACACACCTCTACCCATGGTGCCAGGGGTCCACTAGGGGCATGGGAGAGGTATGCAGTTGCAACAGCAGAGGCCAGGCTTACTCCTGACAGTTGGGAAGTATCTGTGAGAAGAATGAAAGTATGAAAAATGGTTAAATGGATGCTAGTACTTCTGTTTAAGAATGTCTGCACTCTCCATTACAATGGTAGTGTCGTTCATTTCTTTTTCAACAATAAATGTCCTTTAGTGTTATTAGTTACTGCATGTCATTTTCTGCCACACTGTAATATTTTTCTGTCATTCTGCCAAAAGTTGTACATAATGTGTTATCGCTAAAGTCAAGTTAATTAAAATCTTACAAAGACCTCAAATCAAGCAAATCTGAAAAAAAAAATTCCCACTCTTGCTTCAGATCTGAAAAAATCCACAGGTGTTTCGTTCCATCCTTCCTCTGTGAGAAGCGAACTTAAGGCTATGCGTCTGAAAGGATGTGCAGCTGTCAAGAAGCTGTTAGTGAGAAAAAGAAGTAGTATGTTATAATAGGATTACTTGATTTGTGAGAAGCAGAAAATGCAACCAGCTACTAAGACTGAACTTTGGAGGTGTGGAAAAAGGATATATGTTTGTGATACACTCATTAAACTGCAGGGTTATTAAATCAGTTATTATTCTTATAGCCTATGATTCAGTAACTACTATGAGCTTCTGATGTTATATTCTGAGTTATAAGAACCAAATATGGGTAAGAGGTTAAATATGTAAGTAAACTGCTAGAAATAAAGGTATTGTGCTGTACATTTTTTGTTCATCAAGGTACAAACAATGTAGATTAACCCTCAAAGGTACAACAGTGGTTTTGAGGTCCAATTGTGTATCTTGAGTATGTTTTTTTCTAGTGGAAAAGTTTGTATTTGTATCTTTTTATAACCTAATGTTTTAAAACAGAGCAATAAAATAAAAAGCCTGGAGTGTCAGTATGGTGATGTTCCCTGACTAAAGGTACTGAGATGTACAGTTGACGGTACCATCCCAGTGACAGTTTTGTACCGTTTTTCTGAGACTGTATGGTATTTGTTAAAGAAACATAAAAAACCTAGATCAATTGTAAACCCACACTCTGGCATGTCTGAATGGTGGACTGTAATTAGATGAATTGTAACTGGTAGATTGCAATTGGTGGATTGTAAATGTGGAATTATAATTGGTGAATTATAATTAGTGGATTGCAATTAGTGGACTGCAACTGGTGGATTGTCGTTGCTGGATTGTAAAGTGTTGATTGCAATTGGTGAATTATTAATTGTAAATGGTAGACTGTAAATGATGGATTTTAACTGGTGAATGGTAAACGTTGAATTGTAATTGGTGGACTGTAGTTAGTGGATTGTAATTAATGAATTGTAAATATTGAAATGTGGTGGATTGTAACTGGTGGATTATAAATGAAATTGTAACTGGTGGATTGTGATTACTGGCTTGTAAATGATGAGTAGCACTTGGTGGATTGTAACTGATATTGTATTTGGTGATAAGAAATGACCTAGATAAATCGTAAACCCACACTCTGCCATATCTTCCCATTTCAGGGTTGTTCATGCTTATATTGCCAATGAGAAGTTTGCTGTTAGCAGCATTAGCATTTTTTGAGGAAAGTGCACTTCATTGTTTGCATCGTTGGAGTTCAGAGCAGTGTTTCCCAATCTCCACCCATTTTAACCCTATGACAAGCTTACTAATGAGATGAATTTGGTGTGTTAGAGCAGAGAAAATCTTCAAATGTGCAGTGCAGGAGGCACCAGGACAAGGGTTTGGAAACACTTCCTTAGACTGTAAACATGTTTGCGATGGAAATGACAAAGATTAATGACACCAAGACATATAGGGCTATTCCTTTAAGCAAAGACATCCATACATCAGTGTAAAGGTTAAATAGTGGAGCTTTTTCAAGTTTACTGATAGACATTTTGAGTTTAATTGACTTTGGCCCAACTTCTGTATTGATCCTTACTATGAAGAAAGGCGAGCACATACAAGATAGGTAATTGAAAGAGCCTAAGGCGTCCAGATAAGTTAATGGCATGCAAGCTAGCATGGGGAGCTAGCAGGATAGCAATCTTAATTTACAGCCTTCTAAAAAACACAGGGGCGAGCTAAACGCTTATCTTCTATCATATATCCACCCCAGAGGGAAGTAGGGCTGATAGGGAGAATCCATAATTGGTTAATTTTAGCACATGTCCATTTCAAAGCGTTGCCTTGCGGGAAGGCTAGGTCACATCTTTCGATAGTCAGTGATGAAGCTGGAGGAGCGTTTTTTTCTTCAGGAGGCCAGAAACTGATGCACAGGCTGGACACTGCATTCTAAAAATGAAGGTTCCACTATGAAATGTTGTGTTTTCTTAATGAAATTAAGGTTCTATGAGGATCTATTCAAGGTTCAGAAACCTTTTTACAGGCACACAGGATTTCTTCAAGAACCTTCAACAAAGAGGAGCGTCTTAGCGAACACAATATTATGTTACAGTACAATATGTTAAATATTAATATACTAATACACCGACTGGCCACTTCATTAAGTAGTGATTCTACTTGTTTCTACTCTCACTGTGCATTTTAACGGCTCCACTTATCATATAAGTGATGCTACCACATCAGTATCACTGCAGTGCTGAGAATGATCCACCACCTAAATAATACCTGTTCTGCAGTGGTCCTGTGGGGGTCCTGACCATTGAAGAACAAGGTATAAGGATCTAATAAAGTACACAGAGAAACAGATGAACTACAGTCTGTAATTGTAGTGGACCTGACAAAATGGACAGTGAGTGTAGACACAAGGAGGTGTTTGTAATGAAGTGGCCGATTATATGATATACAACATTTTAGGCTAATAAAGTGCTTTGTAGCTGTTTTTGTTGCAACCTTAGTTTTGGCTCCTCATGTTTGGATTCCCTTCAGGTAGAGGAGTCATTTGTGACATGTCCACTAGCAGTTGCCTTCACAGTGGACAGTAGCTGAGCTAGCTCATCCTCTCTCTCTCTTTCTTACACACACAAATGGACAGACACTCAGAGTGCTGGCTGAGTGAATCTTTGATAAGTATATAAATAAATGAAAAAGGTATAAATTAATCAGCACAGGCAGAAGGAGGAACACGATGGAGGTGAAGGGGTCTTTCTCTCTCTCAGGTACCCCAAGCTCCTCTGACTAATGATAAAGGAATAACACCCACACATTCACTCTCTAGCCATGCTGGATCCATCAAACCTTCTTGTGCTTATCTTCAACTATGCCTACACACACATGTTCATGCTCATTTTTAGCCATGGCTACACACAGGGGATAAATTGGGCCAGAACTCTTGTTTGTTTTCTGTGAACACAAGCAGAGCCAAGCTAACTATAATTTGAAGTACATGTGCATAATTTCTAATACATTCTTTGTGAAATTGACGTAACTCTGTTACATAATATCTTCTTGGTGAAATAAAGCCTTTAGTGTTGTCTCCTTTAAAAGGTGGATGAGTCAAAATTGAGGATTTTCAAACCTCTAGAGCAGAGGTCTTTAATTAAAATTCAACAAGGTCCAGTCAAAGACAATTTCCTCAACCAAAGGTCCGGAACATCATAATGTCTATGATTCAGTGCCACATACTGTATACTGAAGTAGTAGTTATATCAACATCTTATGTAGTCAACAACTGAATGTCAAATCAAATAAAGTACAATTCAGTAATATTTCAACACTATTTATTGTTAGATTTCTCTTTTTAGAGAACGCCATGTAAAATAATCTGGCTCAATTTCTTCTCTAACTGCTATGTCTCGTCTCGTCCCTCGTCTCGTGTGCACCACTCACTCGAGTTTCAGTGCTCATCGGTTGCATGCGATTGGTCTGTGAGTTTCCCAGGCTGCAAAAACCATACCCTAAATGCTAGAAAAGATTAAAATAGGACCACCCGGTCGAAATTAAATAATTCTCCTCTGTCTCGGTGATAGGCCCAGGTCCGCATTGGACAGCGTCTGGGTCTGGACTCGGACCGCGGCCCGCCTCTAGAGGTTAAACAGATGAAATACAACATCAACACTGGAACATTTTTTCATACTCTTTAGCTCCACTTCCGGCTTCCACCCATCATAACAAAGTACCAGCAACACTACCAAGCATTGTCATGACTTCACTTTCTAGCAGTGAGGTAGGCTGTTTCGTATGGGAATTGCCTTGCTTCATAATATAGATATAGATGATAAAAGTATGGCATTACGCTACTATTGCTTAAGAGGAGATCAATATATCTGATGTAGCCTACACCTTAGTAGAGCACACTGTGTGTGGTCCTTTTTAAAGCTAAAACAACAATTTCACAAGTTGTTAATAACATTGTATACCATTGATATTAGCTAATTCATCTCATGGTAGTTGTGCTTGCTTTTATGAACCTAGCTAAAACATATAAACGTCAAGAGAGGGCTACAATGCTGCTCTCTTCCCTGGCAAAGTGTTTTATTCTACTTGGCAAATTATGATGACATATCATTATGTTTCACTTTTTCAGGGAGACTTTTGCCTAATCAAGCTATCCAAGTTCTCTTCGAGTACTTCTTTGTATAGCAGCAGCATTTAGACAGAGCAAACGTCAACCTCCACTGTCTCTTTTGTCCGGGGGATTGTAAAGTTACGTAATATAAGTTACTTCTATATAGAGTCTATGAAAGTCTGTATACACTTGACATTCTCTTCATACTGATTCACTGCTTGAACATAGTCAAGAATGTCCTGTTTGTCTTCATAATGAGGCAGATGTCAGTTCTACAGCAGAACAAAAAGTTTGAATAAGAAGCCAAATTCAGCCTCATCTAGCATCCTCAACTGCCTGGGAGTTTGATGCAGTTCACTAGTATTACACACAACATTCACACTCTGTAAAGGTGGTTCATCCAAAGTATTACTTTACCTGGCTGTCTTAGTGATAAAGATTTGTCTACTAGATTTGTTATGTAAAGGCGATTCAACCAGCTTTATATGTATCACGATTACATACATGTCCAAGAGGACAACTTTCTCTCCTTCGCACGTAATAATTCCAACTTTGAAAAGCACTTCCAAAGCATTCTTGTTTTACTATCCTTCACGTTGTTAAGTCTTTCGGCAGTGCAAGTTGGTAACTGGATTTTGCCTTGTATTATGAGCTATGTAGACAGAAATGTGGCGGAGTTATGTGGTGTAGGTGACTGACAGGTGATCAGTTTAAACACAGACATGCTCTCTGCTTCACCCTGCATTTTTACAAACAGGGCATCCCAGGCACATAATACATTGCTGATTGCTGATGGAACCCTTTCTGGTACTATATAAAACCATTCAACATCAATCTGAAGAACATTTCACTACGCAAATGACCATTTAATGATGTAAATGGTTCTGAAAGTGTTTATGGTTCTATATAGAACCACTGTCTTTACTAAAGAACCCTTGAAAAAACATCTTTCTAAAGATTGTACTCCTCACTCAGTCTCAGCCTTAAAAAGTGTGTTTCTAGAGCTCAAACTGCAAATGCTTATATACACCATTACAGAATTGCTATTCTTAATAAACATCACATCGAGTTACTAAATATAAATTCTATGTTGGACAACAAAGATCAAAATCCAAAACAGTCTAAAGTTAATACAGACAAATGTATTATGTATGTATGTAAACATGCTAATCACAACTGATTCCCAGCTGAGCTGAACTCATATGCAGTTGACCATCCATAAAAAGGGGTCACTCCAGAAGTTAACTTGTTTGCAATGGAATGTCCATCACATGCCCATAACTGTGTATAAGCAAGAGAGGACAGTAGCTGTGATGTGCATGAAAACACGTGGCCAAAAAATGCAGTCAAGGTAAACTAAGCGTTAAGCATATCTCTGATATTATCTTTGCTTATTATGTGGTATTGGATTTATTTCTGCTAAGTAATGTTTTTCTGTTGTAATTGTTTTTCTTTTAAAAACAAAAAACAAAACAAATATACCAAAGAATAATGTTCAATTTACAATATGACAATTATTTACTACTTTTTAGATAAAACAGAGTTTCTACCTTCATGCTTACACTTGTTGATGTTTTTAGGTGAGTGTGCTGTGACTAATAAAGTATTTTTGTTGTAAGGACACTTGTGTTGATGTTTTGATGGAAGGAATTTATTTTGAGACATTTTTGCAGTATTTTAGTCATTGTAGAGCATTTTGACTATAAAATAAACTGTTGTGCCAAGCTACGTTTTAACCTGGTCCTGAGAGCTTGTCAGCCCTATACGCTCACCATGCAATTTGCATAGGGCCCTGGAAATTATGCAAGGACCCTGCCTACCCCTTGCATCAAAGATGTTTTTTGTTTACAACGTTGATGAGAGGACGAAGCGTAACTCTCCATCTGGTCAGGAAAAAAGAAAAAAAAACACCATGAGAGTGAAATGTGGGAACATCAATCAAGTAAACTTGTGCTCTCTTCTCTTCTTGTTTGATGCCAGCAAATAACAAAAAAGTTCAACTATTTATTACGTTTGTTAAACATCAGCGGGCAATCATTTACAACATGTGGCTTGGAAAAGATAACTGCACCGCACATTAATGGGTTCATATGCGCATGCATCAAATGTAACTCACGCTTTGCAGCATCAACCTCTGGATGCCAGTCCAGACAATATATAGGTGTGATGGTTCACTCCTTATAGGCAAACATCATTTTAAAACCAGACAATGATTATCTAGTCTCTCAGTCAAGGGTTTAGTTAACTCTGGAGTAATGCAAAATGAAAAGCAATGGATTGACACTGACTATTGATTAAATACTGAATTCAAAATGTTGATTAGCTGGGCATACTGGGCCTAGTATTATCTATCATTTTAACTATGTTCATACCTCTTTCTGTTCTATAAAGGCCTGCCTAGAGCGACAGATGGAGTAACGACTGTAGTGGGAGCACGGGGTGTCAGGTGTGACTTCGGGCAATTGCAAATGGTTTACATGACTCACGGGTTAGGTAGGAGGACCCCTTTGCAGAATATTGCTTAGGGCTCCAGGGAGGTCAGGACCAACTCTGTAATAACCCGTTTTATTTGAACAGATTAAATTTCATAACTAACTTGTGTTTATAATGTGTTCTGTCACCTGGCTTTGCTAAATGCACTCAAAATGCACACTTGCAGTGAGGTAGCTGGAAATCAGTGCATCACAGCGAGACTGATTTTTTTTTTTTCTAATTTTTCTACATCATTTAAACACAGCCTAAAGTAGTTTTATTCATATTTTCATGACATCAAAGCTTTGAACTATATAATAACACACATATTGAACTATGTTATTTCCACATTGTTGCCACCCTGAAAAAAAGAAAGCTCTCCCACCTCACTAAATTCCAATTTAACCCCTGGCTACACACACATACACTCGGAGGCGCACACACACACACACCGAGCGGCAGCACATATCTCTCTCTGGCAGTTGTCTTGCATCGGTAACTCGGGCTGTCAGCGCGCGTGTCGCTGAACAAAGCGGCCGAGGTTGTAGCGGAACATTTGACAAATGAATAATAATGGGCTAATAATCCATTTCGAGTGAGTGAGACAAAAGAATAGGAGGATGTTCTTTGTAGAATTTCTCATATTATTGCCTTTTCAGAGCTTTCAGGTGATAAGACACCCCCAGTGCTGTACTGGGATTCATATAAATCAACTTTTTTCTTCCATGCCAAGACATGACAGTTTGTATGCATGTAGAAGTGAATGTGCATGTTGTGAACAATCATTTGTTGTTTTAACTTTGAAAAGTAAGTAATCCAGCTGACTTAAAATGTGGATTAGGCCAGAAACATACACAACACAAGTAGGCAAACACAAATGACAGTGCCCATGCAATGCGTTGCAAATGCACAGACCTGCAGTACAAATGCAACATGCATTCTAACATTGCTGTGGTCTTAAAACAGTGATTTGATTTGTCTTTATTTGTAGGAATACGCTCAGAAATTTTGCACACTCCCAAAGTATGGTTTGTTGTACCTCAGTGCATTCTTGGCCAATCTTCTTTTAACTTAAAACTTTTTACTCACACTTACATTACAAATTGATCAAATATTATGGAATACTCCTACATATGCTATGTCAGTGGTTCTCAAACAGGTCCTCAGAGACCCCCAAACGGTCGATACTTTCACTTCAACATAACCCGCAACACATGGGGTAGAGTAAAATATGAACCGTCTGGGTGTCCCTGCGGACTGTTTTGAAGTCATAATCACTGTACGTATTTCAGTTTGCATTACATTTCACAGACTTTTCTGTTTTTTTCACAATACATCTTGCTATTATTTTACTTTTTGAAGTTTTTGAATGATCTCTTTGAAGACTCTTTCTGTTTTGAATTTGTATTGTACTTTATATGTTGATATGTTCCATTTCAGATGTATTACATGTGCCTATTGCACATACATTAAGGCACATTTTGCACTGCACCTTCTCAGGTAGGTACAGTACTGTGCAAAGGCCAAAAACCACCCTTTTACCTATTTTCCAGTCAAACTAGCCATTAAAAAAATTAATGCTAAGAAAATTTGCAAAACATAAAGAAGAAGCTGCTGGTGTTCTCAGAACAATGGACTGACCATCCAAGAGCCCTTATCACAATATAGCTAATGTAGTTATGTTATAACTGACGTTTGGGGGAGGAACCCCTCCTTCTTCCAAACGAATGCCACAGCCTCTGCTTCCGTTCCCGTGACGAAGTGTTCACAATCCCCACTGCCACCCCATCTCCTCCCTGTTCCTCAGTCCTACATCAGTCCTACTACAGCTATGACAGAGGATCTGGCCTCTAGCTACTAGTCTAGAACTTCCCCAGAACTCCAGCCCAAGTTCTCAGAGTTCTCCCCCCTCCCTCAATCAGTTTTCCCTCATACTACAACCATGTTGAAGACATGGTCTGAACTCTTTTGGGATTACGCAGATCATGAACAGTAGAAAATGCAACCAACTTCTAAGACTGAACTTTAGAGGTGTGAAAAGTTAACCTCACAGATTCCTTTGAAAAATTTCACCTGAAAATAATGGAAGCTGTAATAAAGGTAAAGAGTGGACACACTAAATACTGAAATATTTTATGTTATATTTAGTTGTTGAGGCTTCTGTGTAGGCCTCTGCTGGTAACAGTCCTTTTATTCAGGTAACTGCGTAAACAGTCAAACCTGGGCTGGGGTTTTTTATCTATCTTTTGAGATCGCTCCTTACACTGAAGTGGATGTCGGAGCTTGCACAGTGATGTAGACTCATTTGAAGCTTAAACTTTGTCAAATAAAAGAACATAATACAAGCACAATTCAGTGAAAACTGTGGTTATAGTATACAGTGATTTTTTATTTGGCCACAAACTGCAATCTATCTAATAAGAAAGAGCAAAATTGTGAATGTTACAAACTTCACCATCTGAGAGTTTGTGGCCATCTGAAAGGCTTGTTCCGTCTGATGTATGAGAGCCGAGACCCAATTTTTTCGAGAGATGTGGAGTGGTTTTTTTCTGATGTGTGAAACTTAATATTGTGGTCTAAGGATGTCCTAAATTGTGTGCCTCAACAAAGGCAGCTTGCTGATTTAGCATTTGAGACCTAAACATTGAGCCGTACTTTCTTTTTGAGTCTACTTTTTGAGTCTACTCTATGCATGTTAATGCATAAAGACTTATGACTTGGTCCAAAAAAACTCCCCCAAAATCTGACCCAACACCTTTAACTTAAATAATAATAACACTACATCCTTCAATTTTAACAGAAAATAAATAAATAAATAAAATTTACCATTACTGGTAACTGTTTGGTTAACCGGCTCTAGGCACAGGCCTACATCTGGGTAATTTTCTGTTTACAAATATGTTTTCTGAAAATGTAAAAACTTGTACTTAAGAAATATGTTGACAGGAAATTGAAATGAAGGGTGGTCTCTGACTTTTGAACAAATAATGTACATCTGGCCCTGAGTCTCCCACATAGAAAGTAAAACGATAACACATGGGTACTCACAGTTTTGTCCTCCTGCGTTGCTGATGCGGAGTGCAGTTAGGTTGCTGAGCATTCGTCGAAACTCAAACGGAGTCAGAGCTGGATTCACTTCCTTTTCACTTAACCTGTGGACACAAATTCAGGTTAATGCAGCCTGTCAGCCATGTGTGAATGTGTGTGTTGGATGTGTGTACAGGTGTGACAGCTTAGGTGCAGCAGGGCTGTAAACAGAGATTGAATACAGCATGCGATAATATGTAAACCAAAGCACATGTGCATAGGGCTGAAAGATGAATTGTTTTTATTATGGTCTGTTTATTATTTACCACATTTTCAGAAATGGAGCAAAAACGTGGACTGTCTGGGGGATCTTGAGAAGTAGGTTGGTAACCACTGAGTTAGACCAATTAGAAGCAACCAAGCACTCATATGCTATGCAAAGGCCAACCCAACATCACAACAGAACAACAGTATGCTCAGCGTTCAAGCCTCAAACCAGAAAAGGGGGATATTCTGTTCAGGCCTGGACTTTTATTTATAGAAAGTAATCACAGTTTAAATCACTGTCACATTATTGGTAAGAAAAATCTTTCCACAAATTGTTCAGCTCTAATCATGTGCACATAAGTTTACTTCCTTCCTGATCTTTCTTTTACTTCCCTTCCCCTTTCCACTTCTTCTTCTCACCTGTTCACTTTCCTGCACTCTGATCCCCCGCTCGTACTGCTTGATTAAAATTAGCTGCTAGAACGCGCCCTCAGAAAACACACAGCTTTTAAATCTGTCAGGGAACATTACCGGAGCCTGTCGATGGCACATGCAGTCACACAGTCACGCGTTCGCGCGTGCACAGATGTCGTGACTCTGACTGCTTCATCATGTTTATTCATGAAGTCCACACCCCGCTGATAAACAGACAGAAATATCTGATAACAAGTAACCCACACATACACTTGTCCTCACACGTTCAGTGTTCACGCTAAGATTGCTCCCAAAAACATGGATCATTCCAGCTCTAGAACTCATAATTAGCCTTCTTTTTTTAAAGCTGTCTGGATAAGCTAGTGAAGATATGTCCTGTAAAGATCAGGCAGCCTTTTATATTTTAGCTAGGTTTATTTTTTGCCAATATTTAGTCGTAAGGAAAGATAAGGCAGCAGGGGCTGGACCAACTTCTCCTATAAAAAAGGAATTATGGCAAAGTAAGTCACATACGACCTTACAGTTCCGCTCACTGGCTATTTCATTAGAAACACCTACATTGTCCATTCACTGGCTGGCCACTTTATTAGGAACACTTACCTTTTCCTTTAATCACTGGCCACTTTATTAGAAACACCTACCTTGTGCTTCCACTCACTGGCCACTTTATTAGAAACATTCACATTATAGGCCACCAGCACAACTGATTTAGCTAAACCAGGATGGTAACTACAATTAATACTGGAGAGGTCTGGAAATGGATAAACAGTCGCATTCACATACATAAAATCACTACAGTGTAAAGAAAAAAAAAAAAGTTTTAATTTTAAAAAGTGACCGAAAAAGTGAATCGAGTTCAATAACTCAGAATTTTAAACCAACCAGGTTTCTACATTTTTAGCTAAAACATTGTTTTTAACAGAGTATTTACTGTATTAATGTTATTTATTTTAATTCTAATATTAGTGCTTTTCTGAGTATATAATGTTGATATCTGAACAGATAAATACTTTTCAAAATATAATTTTCTCAGATGCCTAAGACTTTTGCACAATACTATAAAGTATACATACACTACAAGAAATGGAGACAAGAAAATTGTCTACAACTTACCAATAAATGTGTTTACTGAGCAAAATATAAAATAAACATGAAAATAAATGCAAAATCTATATTTCTTAAGTAATTAATATCTTGGTTAAATGCCTACACCCTAGACAAATAGCTTTACATATCATTATCTTAAATAAGATTTTAACACAGTTCTGTACATAGTATACACATTGCTGCTCTCAAAAGAAAACGTTGTATGTCCATATTTATCGTTCTTCAGTTTTTGACATAATTTCAAAATGCCTGTTGCCCTTTACATTGTGTGTAAATTTCATGATGAATGGACTAAAAGAAACAGCTCAAAATGACTTGGAAAAAAGTCTGGTTCCATTGACTTACATTAAAAGTAAAATAAGGTTTTTCCTTCTCCTGTAAAGTTACCATTTTGGAGATGCGAGGTTTTCTTCTGACAACAGCTTATATATAAGGTATTACACACAGTAAGTGTACTATGTACAATTATATGCAAAAATTTGAACACCCACAGTCAAATTGCATTTTATTGATTTTTAGGTTAAAAACTAGTTAACACAATTACAACAGCATGTTTTCTACAAATTTTAGTGCACAATTTCTATTTTTTTGCTGAGTTAAACATATGTATATATGTTTATATGTACATATAAACAAAATATTCATGTAACTTTAGCACAGGCCAAGCCTTAATTTTTGTCAAAGTTAAATTCAGCAAATAAACAGTAATTGTGTATTAGAATGTGCAGAAGTATGTTTTCTGTAGAAGATGTGTTAACTTATTTTCCCTTAGAAAATCAACAAAAAAAAAAGTGTAATTTGACCAAATATTTGCATATGACACATCTTATACACAAGACAAATACATCAATACTACCTGCTGGACGATGTATTCCAGCATTGAAAAGGTTCGCTGTAGAGTCAGTGAGTGTATTAGAGCTCCTGTGGTGATAACCATCAATAAAACCATTCTCCCAAAGCGGCAATTTGCTGCGTTTTTGAAAGCCCCAGGCAACTAGCCAAGCTGAACAATTATGAGCCCATGCAACACTTATTATGCCTAATGTGTCCCACAATTAGATGGTGGATCGTAATTATACTGATAGCAGTTCTTGAGTCTTTTCAGTTAATTGAATTAATCAAAGCACATGAAAAAGAATCAGTGATGGCCTGTTCCGTCCTATAAACTGGGTCATATTCTTCTCTCAGGACATTAAAAACAGATTCTTGTGAGATTAGAGCTTCAATGTCTGTAATTTTCAAAAGACATCTGTAATTACCACTGAATGTTTGGTAATTTTATATAACTGTAACAGAAACATCACATCCTCATACTTATTGGCCATTTTATTAGGCACACCTATTATATACACTGGCAAAAAAAAGTATGTGAACCCTTTGGAATTACCTAGTTTTCTGCATTAATTGGTCATAAGATTTGATCTGTTCTTCATGTAACTTGCACAAATAGACAAACACAATGTGCTAAATCTAATAACACACAGACATTCATAATCGTTAATGTCTTCATTGTGCACACCAATTAAATATTCACAGTGCTGGTGTAAAAAGTAAGTGAACCCCCGGATTTAATAACTGGTCAACACTCCCTTGGCAGCAATAACCTCAGGCAAGTGCTTCTGGTAGCTGTGGATCAGACCTTCACAACGTGCAAGAGGAATACTGGACTCTTCTTTTTTACAGACTTGCTTTATTTTCTTTGAATGTCTGATGTGAACAGTTCTCTTGAGGTCATTTCACAGCATCTCTACTGGGTTAAGGTCTGGGCTCTGACTGGGTCACTCCAAAGGGTGGATTAATTTTTTAAAGCCATTCTGTAGTAGGTTCACTTTGTTGTTTAGGGTCATTGTCCCACTGTATCGCCCAGTTTCAGTTCAGGTGCCAGTGGACAGCTACCCTGATATGATCCTGTAGGATACCTTGATAAACTTCTCTCAATGATGGCAGTCAGTCCAGGCCAAGAAGCAACAAAACAGCCCCAAATCATGATGCTCCCTCCACCATGCTTCACTGCTGGGATGATGTATTCATGTCGATATGCAGTGCCCTTTTTACGCCAAACGTAGTGCTGTGAGTTCTTCCTAAACAATTTCTCCTTAGTTTCATCAGTCCCTAAAACATCCTCTGAGTAGTGTTTTGGAGTGTCAAGGAGCTCTTTGCAAACTTCAGGCATGAAGTGATGTTTTTGTTTTTTGGAGAGCAGCAGCTTCCTCTGTGGTGCCCTGCCATGGACACAAATGTCCGTTCATATTCTTTCATGATTTTTCATGTTAACCAGTTCCAGTAATTCCTTTAAGCCTTTAGCTGTTACTCCAGGGCTCTTTTCTAGTTCACTGAACATTCAGTGTTGTGACTTTGGAGTGATCTTGGTGTCATGCCCACTTCTAGGGAGAGTAGACAGTACTAAATCATCTCCATTTACAGACTGTATGACTAAAGGAAGACTGATGAATACTTAAACTCTTTGAGATTACTTTGTAACCCTTTCCAGTTTTATGCAAATCAAATTGATCTTAGGTCTTCTGAGATCTCTTTTTGTCAAGGCATGGTCTACATCAGCAGACGCTTCTTGTGAAAAGCAAACTCAATGTTTGAGTGGTTTTTATAGGTCAAAGTAACTCTAACCCACACCTCAAATCTCTTTTCACTGAAACTCCATGTTTGCTAACTTCTGACACCAATTAGTTAGGATTCACATACTTTTTTCCAGCCTACACTGTGAATGTTTCACCACGGACAAGAACAATATATTATTTTTTGTATTATTAGTTTAAACAGATACAAAAATGCAGGTAATTCCAAAGGGTTCATATACTTTTTCTTAGTCCATCAGCAGAATTCATTAGCCGCAAACTACTTCATCCACTGATGGAGAGGAGCCACTTTAGGACCATCATTGACCATACATTGCAGTGTTACAAATCCTTTAGTCTTGATTCAGGCACAAATCATACAGCATACATTATGATGGAAACATGTAAAATCCTTTGCAACTGTAAACATTTTTGAGGAACCTTAAATTTGTTTCATCTGCTGACATAAACAAAGCAAAACAAAGCCATATTGGAATGAAATACAATATTGGCAATACAATACAAAAATTTGAAGACCACCTTTTATTCATTAACTTTCCAGTCAAATTGGCAATTAAGTACAAGTTATTAATTTTTCAGGATATATTTCTGAGAAGACTAGATATAACATTATTCACTTGCATAATGAAAGCAGGAAGTTTCTAAACTGAAGTTCAAAAAAAGTATTAAAAATAGAAAATGGGACTCCTAACAACTGTGCAAGACCTGGTATACCACCATAACTGTGACCATCAGATAAACAGTTCTTAAAGCTGAAAGGCTGGAAGCTGAAAAATCTATAGAGGTTTCTGTTCATCCTTACGCTGCGTGAAGACAACTCAACGCTATGGGTGTTCTTAGAACAGTAGACTGACCACCCCAGGCCTCAACATCATTAAATTTTATTTAATCATTAAATATTAAGGTTTCCAAGAACAAAGGAAGCTATAATAAAGGCAAAGTGTGGACAGAAAAAATACTGAAAAAATGATACATTTAGTGGTTGAGGCTTCTGCGTGATATCCTTTTAAATATATCATCGCTGTCCAAAGAAAACATGTATCTCCAAAATGGTAACCTTACAGAGAGAAAAATCCTCTTAAATTTTAAAGTAAGTTTCAATAAAGAAACTTTATTTTAGAAATTATTCTATGCAACTTTGGAACATTTCTATTGGTGTATTGGTGATTTATCACACAACGTAAAGGGCGTTTTAACACTCTGTATCTGCTTTGTTGTCATGTGCTTTTATTTACATCTACCATGTGCCTTTGTTTTTTTAAAGCCATGTGCTTTTGTTGCATTAGCTCCTCTCCTGTCCTGCCCTGACTTCAGCCTTCACCTGTTCCATGTTTTCTAGCCCCACCCTCTCATTGCTCTCAGGTGTTCTTTGTCTTCTGTGTTAGTATGTATACCCCTGTGTTTCTTTTATTCCCTAGCCAGTATTGTGGTGTGTTCCTGGTTTATGTTTGTGATCTTGTTTTTCGGCTCATGGTTTCTTTGTGCAAATCCAGCATTTCATTGTTTTCTTAGTCAATTTATGTTCTTTCTAGTTCCTTTTGTTATTGTGTGCTGGTGTGTTCTCAATGGATCCTAGTACTGGTCTCTGACTTTTGCACATAGACACACAAACATACTCATACCTGAGAATGAAGGTGTTATGAAGAGTGTGGCCAGGCCCACTCTCCAGGTCCTTCTCTGAATACAGGCTGGTACTGACTGATATTCCAGATCCTTCCAGAAGCACAGTCACACTTCTTGGCAACAGCTCGCTGGCTTCAGCGGTGAACGACAAGGAAAGATGCTGCCCGTAACTCAGCAGCTGGTTTCCTATAAACTTTTCTATTAGACAAGACAAAATAGAGAACAATATTCTTCATTAGATCCTATTAGGATTCAGTTTGGAGGAGACAATTTTCTGATACAGGCATGTAATTTGGCAAATATTAATAGTGTAATATCTGTGGAAGCAGCAGCTGGGCTGTATGTGAAGTCCACAGTATCTCATCTTTAAAAGCTTTTGGACCAGACTTTGGATCAGTTTAGCTAGCAAGACTATTTGTACCTGTATTCAAAAGCAAGACTATCAAATCAGGTTGTTCACACATAATGTGAGGAACCTGACCTATGCCCCTCCAACAAAGAAGTAAATAATACCTACTGTTGTGAAGTTTCACAAAGTTACACTTTAGAGAATGAGTAAAGTTTTTGTCAAATTATCTAACTTTAGAGAGCTTAATTTGAATACTTATTTTGTATATGAATGAAATGCTACAGCATTAGGATAATTTGGGTCATAGAATGGTGGTATATTTGTTGCCATTTCAAACCTAACTGGTTTTGATTAGCTTCGACAACATAGTCCAGCTTGTTGGGGTCATGTAGTAAAAAAAAAAAGCTTTTCCACCGTCGGGCCAAATGGTTCTCAGGGCCGTAGTGGGCCGTTCCGCGCTGGTCCGGACTTGTGAGACCGGTTGTGGTTTCTGTTTCCATTTATTGAACCACTAAATCAGAACCAGGAAATACCCCCCAAAAAACGCAAATGAGTGGCTAAATGCTAATAGGTTAATGGCCATGCACACATAACCCATTGCAAAACACATTTGATTCCGTCTGTCACTCCAACTCCAGTCTCTTAGTGTGCTCTCATCTTCTTTATCATCTGAACGGGTGGTATTTATTTTGTTACTGAAACAGCCTGTACTGTAGTGGGTTTTACCTGTGGTGGGATAACTAGCTAGATTAGCATTAGCGTCACCCGACACGGTACAGTTTAAAGCACCACAGAACAATTCTATTTTCATCTTTCTGTCGTTTCTACACCGGTCATTCAGATTTGTGCTCTCATATACGAGTCTTTATCCTCTAAACGGGTGTTTTTAATCATTGGTTCACTAGAACCGAGCCTGTACTGCAGTGGGAGGCACTGTGCATTTACATTAGCTTAGTCTAGCAGCTACAGCTTAAAGCACTAAAGAAGAGGTTTGATTTTGGCTCTATACTTGTGATTTTGGCTCTATACTTGTGATAGCAGAGCACTGGTTAGTCGAATCGAACCTGCACTGGGGTGTTTGGATATCTTTAGATATGCTAAGTTAACTAGGAAAGAGGAGCCGACTAGCATTAGCTTAGCTAGCTAGGAAGCTCCAGCTCCAGACACCAGAGAACAGGTTTAATTTCGGCTTTCTGTCCATCTAACATCAACCGCTCGACTTTGCGTCCTCCGAGCTGAGACCTTATTACCTAAACTGTATCAGTAAAGCTTTTGTTAGTCAGAATCAAACCTGTTCTGTGGTGAGCAGAGCTGGCAGCATGCTAGCTAACTAATGCTAACCAATTACTCCTCCTGGTTATCCACACTGTTTAATGTTTAGAAATTGGTGTTAGATTGAAGCTTTGGCATATAATGAATGGTGGGTTTTAAATCGTGAACTGAATGTATTTGATTGTTTTCAAGTTTGAACTAATGCAGCAGGATGCAGTGGCACAATACCGACATAAACATAAAACCAATCAGGAAATAGCTACGTCATCCCACCGAACGGTTCCGTGGCCCCAAGTACGGTTAGCTAACCATGCTGAAAAAAACCGAGCGTTCCGTGTCGAACTGTGTTTGTGTGGTAACACCACTGGAACGGTTACCCTCCATGCTCAGAATCGTTTGGCCCTGCAGTGAAAAAGAGGCCAAAGATTGCTACAATTTATGATTAGGTTTGATAAGATTTCTGCCAGTGTTCTCTAAATCTTTCTCGACCTGCCAACTGTTATTACAAAAGAATACGTTTATAGAGGGAGCTCAGACATAATGGAGCTCAAGACAAAACAAAAAATGAAAGTCCAGTCGTGATAGCGCAGACTGAGCATGTGTACTGTGGCCACATAACGGCATTTTTTATACACAGATCTTGTCCCAAGAGTTTAAATAGTGTTATTCTAATGGTAAACATTATTTCAGCATGTGTTTGAGGCTCATGCCTCTATCTAGCCTCTGAATCTGCTGCCATTGTTAAAGGAAGTCTCTCAACAGCACGTCTTATGTAAATTTGCACCTGGTTTTAAAAAGGCAGAGCAAGCTGTTCAAACTTTGGTAGACCGGAATATGTAATCAGCCGCATGTGTAATATCTCCAGCCACTTCTTGCGTGATCCTCCCACATTTTGTGCATTTTATCAATGCAGCCTGCTGACCCACCGCCATCTTCTTCAGGCTTTGATCAGTCTGTCCTGTGGATTTGTAGCAGATCGCTGGAAATCACTGTGCTGTGTCAACGCTAGAGTTGAAAGCTGCAGCCGTGCTTTTGAATATTGCCTTTTTTAGATATGTTACTATTGGTAAATAATAAACTTGTAGTGTTTGCCTGTCGTGAAGACTGACAGCATGCTTGACAAAACATCACATCCTACTCCAGCCACACAAATTCTTTCTTCAAGCCATATTTTAATAACCCTGCCACTGCAGCAGGCCACGAAGAAATGCTCATTCTAGAAAATAAGCTCGTTCTGCTTATGTCAGGTTTTATTTGTTAATAAAATGCCAAAGGTGTGTGCTTTAGTTTCACTTTCTTTTATTATTCCCTTTTCAGGAGTGCAACACAGATTTTAATAAAACTAAAACCAGACCAAACTCATATCTCAGATTGCAGGAAAAAAAAATGTTTTAAGGCCTACTGTGACTAGATGCTCTGAAGCATCCATGAACTCCATCTCCCAGAATCCTCTGGGAGATCACTTGACTAATGACACATCGTATCTATTTGTGAGAACTGCTGAGTGGTTTTGTCTAATTGCTCTTTGTCTTTTTTTGATCTTGCCTTTGGACTCTTTTACTTTGCTTTTTGTCTTTTGTCCTTTCGATCTGGTTGCCTGGTTTTGTTATGTTTATCTTTCTTTGTTTTCAGGCTTTTCTGGATTTTACCCTTGTCTGTTCATCAACACTGAATTTTGCCAAACCTCATTGAAAAAAAGCCTTATTTTTCACTTTTACCGCACTCGTCTGACCGGGTCGGTTTCGTTACAACTAGGTTGTTGCTTCGGCTCAAACTAGCTCGCCACTGCTGCACACCGATCAGATCTGAACTGTATGTGGAATCTGAATTTAGTGCATTGTTGATGCTTGTGCCTCCATCTAGCCACTGCTGCCATTGTTAAAGGAAATCTCTCAACAACACACCTTTGGAGACCTTGATACAAATTTACAATTGGTTTTAAAAGGCAGAGGAAAAACTGCCACCACAAGTTGGTCAGCTTTAGTAGAGCGGAATATGTAATTAACTGCGCGTGTGATATCACCACTGACCTTTTGTGTGATCCTCCCACATTTTGCATGGCCTTCCCTCAACTGCATAAGTATAAAGAGGAGGAGCACATTTTGCATTTTACCATGTACACGACCTACAAATTAGGTGTTTGGCCTGCATCTGTTTGTGCAGAAGGCATACGATTTGCCCCTGAAATGGGTACAAAAGGCTTAGTACATTGGGCCCTATATGTCTGAAAACTTGACACCTACTCATCTAACTATCCTTCTGAAATCAAGGGTTTTAAGATGGAGTTTATGGCCTCTTTGGTGCAATAACAGCCTGTATTTGTTTGAGAAGGTTTTACACATGAGGATATGACTGCCTTCAGCCACAAAAGCATTAATGAAGTCAGGTACTGATACTTAGTTCTGGATCACAATGCCTCTTGAACTCATCTCAAGGATATTAGAGGGAGCTTCACCACTAGAAAATACAGTTCCACTGCTCCACAGCACAATGCTGGAGAGCTAGAAGACTAAGCTGCTCCTTCGGCACAAACCAGCTTGCCTCTGCCACACACTGATCAGTTTTGTGCTGTATGTAGGATCTAAATTTAGTGCATCTTTAAATTCATTATTCAAAACAGTTTGAAAATTTGAATATCAAAAAATGGAATACCATAAGAAATATCACAAATCACAAAAAAATTGGAATACCACACAAAAGCCAAACACTAGGAAGCAAATGTTAGGGAGTTCGCCACTTACAGTACTGTGCAAAATTCTTAAACACCTAAGCATGATTTAACACCATTTATCTTGGTAATTAATGTGTTTTTACCATTAGCATATTAGAATAAATATAAATAAACATAAAAACTATTTAAAGTAACAAAAAATTCTTATTTTGAAAAAAAGTAGTTGATATCTATGTTTGAAGAACAAAGTTTGGCTCCAGATTTTTCCTGGACATGACTAGTCATGTCATGGATTTTTTAGTGTTCTGGTGATAATTTGGGCTCCCAAGTTTGGCCGGGTGGGCCTCTCAGCCTATATTATTGTAGGGCAAACACTGGTTGGCAAATTTGGAACAAAATCTTTTGCAGTTAGTTCTGTGTCCAACCAAAGAAGCTATGGATCTCATGCAAGAGGATGAAAAGTAGATGCTTAATTGTCAATGGTGGATATTTGTGAATGTGTGAAAAGTCAAGTGGTGTGAAAAAAATGGGAAAAAAATAAATTAATAAAAATCTCAGGCCACATTTTTAGTGCCCAAAACATGAAATGTTGTGGGCTGGGACACCGAGCAATGGGTGATACCAACCCCTGTAATGTACAATGTCACTGACCCAAAGTAGTGGTTGACAGTTGCTCTGCCCACACCCCAGGTCTCTGGCTAAGTAGGGCTAAGTGAATAGCATTGGGGCACGATTGCATTTCTGCAATGTAAATGAATTCCCGCTAATTACTCAAGCATAACTTTGACTGTTGAGCTGCGGTGACCCCGATTAAGATAATCCACGACGAGATGAAATGTTTGGGTGTGTGTGTGAGTGAGAAAGACAGCTAGAGAAAGACTGTGAGAGAGATAGCGAGAGACTCTA